AGTGGTTTACCGCCCAACCGGATGGCAGAAAATGCTTAGATCAGTGGTTTACCGCCCAACCGGATGGCATCCGGTTGGGCGGTAAACCACTGATCTAAGCATTTTCTGCCACCAGAGATTACAATTCCTAACCCTTTGTCATAGTACAAAAGGTAGATAGAAAGACTGTCGCATGAAGTGCTTGACTGACTGCCTACCCGAGCGATAGCATGCAGCCGTGTTCCAGCCGGGCTGATTTATGTAACTCGTTTTTCTTGTAAAAAAGGGGAAGCCGTTTACAACTCATTGTAACACCGAATTAGAGCGCAGCTCTTGAGGAGGAGGAGGGAAGGGTACTGGGGGGGGGGGGTGAAGTGACCTTATGGGGTCACGTGACGATGCTGATGATGTCATCAGTGGCGATGACGATGCGGACTCCGATGACGTCATCAGCGATGATAACGATGCGGATGTCGGTGACGTCATCAGTGACGTCACTGACGACGTTATCCGTGATGATGACGATGACGATCCGGTGACGTCATCAATGACGTCACTGATGACGTCATCAGTGATGATGACGATGACGATGCGGATGCCGGTGAGGTCATCACTGACGTCACTGATGACGTTATCAGTGATGATGACGATGTGAATGCCGGTGACGTCATCAGTGATGATGACGTCATCGGGGAGGTCACGTGACCTCGGCGGGGGGTCACGTGACCCTGGGGGTGGTCACGTGACCTCGGGGGTGTCACGTGACTTCGGGGGGGGTCACGTGACCTCGGGGGGTCACGTGTCTTTGGGTGTCACGTGACCTAGGGGGTCACGTGACCCTGGGGAGGGGTCGCGTGACCTCTGGGGGTCACGTGACCTTGGGAGGACCTTGGGGGTCGCGTGACCTTGGGGTGACCTTGGTTACGCCGACGCCGCTCAAGCCGGGAACGGGCCCCTAAGAGCTGCGCTCTAAAATACCACAAACTCCATGTTTCGGGTCCTTGCCGCTGCAAAAGCTGTGCGCTGACGTCCAGGTTCTCCGAGAAATTCTTTGTGCTACCACATCTTCGCTCTCCAAATCTTCGACCGGGCACTTTATGGCTCCGTCGTCGCACTGCCAGGTTTTGTGAGTATAGGGAGTATTCACTGGACGCCATATTTGTGGGTGCTGTTTAGAGCGCATGCTCAGAACGAGCTCAAATCAATAGGCTGCTAAGACCGGCACTCTTGATGGTGCGGAATGCATGTTGCAAAATAGCTGTGGAAGCTCGCCATCAGCACGCGCTCAGTATTTGCGCACACAGCCATGGCCACCAGTGAATACTCCCTATAGAGGAGGTTAGGGTGCCTTAATATCCTTCTGTTTAGGGTGATGTTACCCTTTGTAGAACCCGATGTCGACAGCACGCGCTCATGGATGAAATACAAAGAAATCGACGAAAACAGAATGTCGCCATAGCACAGTTAGCGCCACAAACTCGAGCAGGGACACGCTGTTGCACGCGCTTCTGAACAAAAAATAAATAACAAACGTGTGGGACAAAATGGCGAGATGCCACCACTCTAAGCAAAGCGCATATGAAGGCACCCTAGAGGTTCACAGGAGGCAGGCAGCAGTGCTCTTGCCGTCCCGTGCCCTGCACGAGCAAAGCTGCAGCGAGGTTGTCGCACGCCCAGAGAGACGAAAGTTTCCTCGATGCATGTGTCAGCGGTGGTGTGTCTAAACTGACTGGTGAGAGCTCTTAGTGAGATCGGCACGTGCCGTCTTGTGCACTACACGCCCACGGTGCTGCCGTCTGCCTCCTGTGAACCAAAGTTTTGATGGCGTCACACCTGCGCCGAACCCGTGGTGAGATTAGGTGTATTGCGTTGTCTGCTCATTTAGCCAACGGGAAGTAACCCCCTGCCACACGGGCAACTCGAATGCCATTTACAACGAATGACATTTGAGCGGACGGCCAATCAGCGCGCGACACTCCGGGCGTGGCGCATTCCACGCGCGACAGATTGCGAGCTGATTGGCCGGTCACAGAATTTGGAAGAGACAATAGAACGAGGGTTAATTTACAACATCGTCCCCGGCAACGTGGGCCCGACCAAAATGAATCGTACACAGCCACCTAAAACGGCCTCGTCAAATCGGTATTTCATACTGTTGTAGACTGTGCAGGATCTCAGCACATTTTGCAGTCATGTGCGAATAGTGGATTTGGAGTTCGAAGCGAATGGTGGCCTTGACCAAATATTTTTTAATCATATATCAAATAGTTTCTCCAAGCCTTTCGCTAGTATTTCACCATGCTTAAACGAAAACCCAGCTGAACTCATGAAGTTTATTCCTAAGCTCCCACTTGTCCCTTTGTAAGCTAATGGTAATATAACTATACTCATGGACCGTGGCCTCAAAAAGTATGATGGCTTGGGAGATGGCAAGTAAGCGACGAAATTGACATAAAATTAAACCTATAGAGATGCCCAGCTATAGAATCTACAAATCTTGCTATATGCTAAAATACTTTCTTAAATTTGGAATAAAAAAAAATCACGAATGATGAAGGCAGGTTCTCAAGGCACCTCAGCCTAATATATACCCTTGCATAACAGCTAGTTTCATTATACAAATTTTACTGAAATGTAGATGTCAGCATTCACAAAGTTTGCGTTAATCTTTAAATACACCAGGAGTCCTAAACTTGTCAAACACAAACTTGAGGCCGAAGTTTGCGGTGCGTGCCGCTTGTTCTCGCGTGACGATGACACAGCGCTTTCTTTCGCCCAAGTCCAATCGGCTCGCTCCGCGAACTATCGCCTCCAACTCTGTATTTTACGAGCTTAGGGTTCCAGGTGAGCGCGAGAACCATCCTGCTTGGGTGTGGTTTTCTCACAATCACGATATTGCGATATTCATTCCATCATCCACCATCGCGGATGGTGGATGATAGATCAACTTCAAGGCCACAAAGGGCGGTTGGTCTCAACGATTCTAGGGCGGCAATACAAATACTCAGCAATCTGAAAGACCCACCTCCTATCGCCCACATTATCGCTTTCAAAGTCGAATCCTTAGAAAATAAAGGCTGGAGTGTAGCATTCCAGTGCCTGCCATCTTTTTGCGGAATCGACGGCAATGAAAGGGCGGACCGAATCGCAGCTCAGGCACATGAGCTCATCAACAGCCCTCTCCACGTGCCGAAGATCAATGAGGTCAGGCTTCTCATTGCACATGAGACGCAAAAAAAAAAACACCCTCACCCAGGCGTAGCCGGAGGAACCCCACCACCACCGGTTCTCACCAATCTCGGTCACCCAGAAGCAACCCTTCTTCACCAACTCAGAACTTGCTCAGCTTTTAAGGCCTTTTAGCTTTACCGCATTATATCCGTGGACAGCCCACACTCAGATATGCCAAGTTCCCGAGGATATAGAACATCTCATTTGTGACTGCCCCATCTTCGACGCTCAGCTTTCTTGACTCCTCCTTGAACATCGTCAAATAGGCGCAGCAAGACAGTTTTCGCACCTGCTTTTCCCGCCAGGTCTCAGGGGCATTGCAACGAAAACATTCGCGCTGCTCCTGACATTCCTGGAAGACACCGGTCTGGCTGACCTTCGTAGTCTACGATTGGCCTCAACATTTGCTGAACACACAAACAAACATCACTGAAATAGTAACCCAAATATTGGGCCAAAATGAATTTTTTGTGAAGTTTTTGAATTCTCAATTTTGGTTCTCACCGTGTTTTTTTTTTTTTTTTTTTAAGTGAAACTCCCTACGGGAAACAATGAAAAAGGGACGTCAGGGGAACGCAAGGTTTACTCCTTAGACTGTAGACGTCGCTCCCAACTGATTACAAGCAGTTTTATGGTTCGACAAAATATAGTAAGGGTGCAGGCGAGCTGGTGAATGTTACCTATGTTGAATAAACCTGATACTGGGGCAAAAATGAACATATAAGTCGAAGGGACAGAAGAGGACAGGACGACGTCTTAAACTCAGCTACCAGGTTGAACGCTATGGAAACTCGCTGCAGCACTCGCGTAGCAGCGCGAAACAAATGCTCGGCGTAGCCAATTTTAAACGGCCCGCTCGACCTGCTAGCCTGCCTTCCCTTGACGTCACAGCACTGAAAAGAGCGGGCCAATACCCGAATGCATGTCGAGGCATCGATTGTCACGAGCCCAGATCAAATGCGTACGCAGTCTTCGCGTCCACTGTGTGAGCAGCATTTAAATATTGTCACCGCAAAGCTCGATGACGCATTCCCGGAGATCGTACTGTTGCCATTGTCCCCACAGCTCCGTCATCAAATTTCGCGAAGGAGCAAAAGGCGACCTTAGAAGGAGAGCCTAAAAGAAAAGCTCCGCTTTCATCCTTTGAATTCCGCGGCGACGAAGACGCTTCTTGGTCAGTGGTGTTGCGTTCGAGTATTCTTGGGTCCCACTAAGGCCAGGAAGTTGGTGTAAACTAAGAAATATTTCTACCCAATGTCGTTGCACAGCCCCTTTAAGTAACCTTTTAACCGAGCACTGGTGCATTGCGGAGAAGCAACACCTGCGGATCCCGCGTCTCCGGGTGTTGCCTCTTTGGAGTGCACCTGTGTTCGAAAAGAAGCACCCTCACCGGGGCCTAACCCGCCGCGATCAAAACTTTGACAAACATGAATATCGCGTTTCTTTTTGATGCGAATATCTAAAAGTGTATGATTTGATGCTATTCGAAATTTCGAATATTCACGCAACACTAACATTCCGTAACGACGTGGTGATGCACTACAAAAAGGAGATCATTCAGAAAATGGTTTTCTTCGTTCATCAATTGAAAATACTAGGTCCAGTATTGAACGTGCTGAGATAGTTGTAAATTGCTTTATAATAGTGACTTATTTTCGTCATTGGCTGTTTTAACACAACCAACACTCAATTTTGCTATCTATGGTGTGCCCGAAGCCGGAACCTTCAACAACAGTTTGTTCACCTATACAAATGCATTTGCCCTTTATTTTTTGTAAGACTGTGGGTGCAGTTGTGAGCAAGATACAGAAACTGAACTAAAAATAAAAACTATAAACTGCTTCTAAATTAACTGTACACACATTTGCTCTTCCATACACTTTGCCCCAGTCCTTGGGCTTGGTCCTTTCGCTGTGTACTCTCGACGAGCTGGCACTTCGACAGTTTTCTGAGGTTCCCTACCGAGATATTCGGGAATGTAGAACCTGACTAATTCTAGCATTCTGTTTCTCTTTCACCAGCTCATGGAAGTCGAGTTCACTCATGGTGAGGTGAAGACATTCCTTACTCTTGTTTTTCAACTTGAACGCTATAACATCTTTCCGCTTGAGCTGAACCGACACGGCTTCCATGGAAACTTCTGCCTTGACGCACTTGGCGTAGTACGCCTTCCGCGCCAGCTGCAGCTCTTGCACCTCCGTGGCCATCCGATGCACACCGAACTCCCGCACTTTTCGTTCAAACACATTCTCAAAATGGCGATAGAGCAACACGTCGGCGTGGTTCAGCTCTGTCAGCTTCTGCTTGACCTCTGGCGAGAGGGCCTCCTTGTATTCGGCGTACCGAGCGTTGATCTTGAAAGCCACGACGTCCGACGTGTTCCAACAGAGCAGATGCTTCAGGAGGATGGGTGACTCGTCCAGCCGTTCAGTCATCATCACCAAATCAAACGCTTTATCGATTGAGTTGACAAAGTTTACTATTAGTTTAGGATTGGACTTCAATGGGCCGGTATAGCCAAGATCGAAGGACATCTGGTTGAATCCTAAACGTTCGTCTACAACTCGCTTTCTCGTAAGGGCACGCGTTAGGTTCTTGTCCTCCACAAACGCGCTGAGATTTTTCTTGTAGGAGTTCGCTAGGCGGCAGTAAGAGTACAGGGACTCGAAGAGGCTGTCTGGTCTCCTGAGGATCGTCACGTACATGGTGTCGCGCGGCATGACTTTGCGCATTTCGTTGCCGTCGTAACGACTATGGTGCGTGAGTATGTTGAAAGACATGTTGTACTTGGTGATGTCATCGATGAAGGATTGACGAAAAGGGGTTGGATGCCCGATGTAGTGGGTGAGGGGGCTCTTGGGCAGGACGAAGTTGAGGTCGTGCTTCATGCCGTAGCGGAGGAAGATGTTCATCAGCGTGGAGCTGGCGCACTTGTGGGTCTTGAGGAACACGATGTCTGTTTTTGGTCTGCATGCCGCCAGAGATTCAGAATGTTGTAAACTGGAACCATGCATAGGATACCTGTAGAAATAGAAAACGTTGAGAACAATTCTGATTTCTCGCTAGGGTAACTAAATGCAATAGATATTTGTAGTGTTACGTATGGAAGCAAACGCAAGCGCTGTTCGCTTGCGTTAGCGTTGCGCGTGCCGCGCTGCGCATGCGTACGCTCTGTGAGGAACCAAGAACGCTAATGGAAAAGCCAAAGTGAAGGGGGGCGCCGACTGCACTCTCGCGCACGACGCCGGCGCACTTTTGACGCCGGCTCCAACTTTGTGTTTGATCGGGTGTTCAGAACTCCTGCACTCCTACCCGTTTAAACGCGTACAAGAATGCTATACTCAGGATGATTTTGCAGACTTGCTAACTGCAGTATTTCGCTCTCGAATCAAGCTCATTCACATCACTTATACTTCGTCAACAACTTCGGTCTTTTTTTTTTTTTTTTTCACAGTCATGGACGCAGCAAGCTGAAACGATTGAGCGACGGCCGAAAGATACCGGTGGCACTCCCCCGACCCCGGACGCGCTCGCTCGCGATTGGATGTCACACGTCCGACGGCGCCCTCTGGCTGTGCCCTCTGGTTTTTGCGCGGTATCGTTAAAAATGTGCGCGTCGCGATCTTCGCTCCCGTTTTAATAGGAAAATTGAACGCATAATAGTCTAATCTTGTGTTTTTATGTATGCTTACAGGCTGTAGATTAAAATAAGTTAGGACGATACATATACGATCTCAGAAACCAATTTCAGTGTCCCTTTTTTGTAAGAATGCAGCTCTGCCTCGCAGGTTCTGCCTTCGCTCACCTGTAACGGTAGGCGACTTCCATCATGGAAATGAAGAGGAACGCAACGATGGTTGCCAGCACCCTGTGGAGATTGCGCAGCATGGCTCTCCCGTGCCCCTGCAAGATTGAAAAAGAAGGAAAAAGGAAAAAAGGAAGAAAGACACTTATATCAAAAGGATGTTATAAGCGTAATTCGAGAAGTGGTGCGTTTCTTTATAATATAAACTCTCGCTGATGCACATCGAGGGAAGAAAGTTATCGACTAGCCGGACTCACAGAAACACGTTATTTTCTGTGAGTTCGGGCGACACTATACGGTCACTGACATTCAGACGGCGAGTTGGGCTAGTTGGTTGTTCCTTCTTAAAGTTGATGCCAAAAAGAGCCAGGACAAGCGAAGAGATTCAGACTGGACGATAAACGAATTTTAACTAATTAGCAAACTAATCGTTACGATTACCTCCCTATACTATGTCCCCCTGGCCGTGTAACTCACCTGCGCAGACCGCATTAATCTAGCTTTCATGTTTCTCTTGTTCTTTTTCTTTATTTTTTAAGGTTTAAAAGCACCACCTCTCTCTCTATATATATATAGAGAGAGAGAAAACGAAGTCGTTGCTTATTTTTGACCACGCTTCATGCTTGGAATGTTTAATACCACGCTTATATGTATACAAACAGAATAACGTTATCTGAAAATTTCCGGGATACATATCAGGCAATTGTGAGGCTGCTATAATCTTAACCATAGTGTATTTATTCTGTGCCCATAAACAACCCGTAGAAATCTGTATTGTGGCATAATAAAATGTAATACATATAAAAAACATGCTTGAATACAATTGACGAATATATTAGAGTCACTGAGCTTATATGCGGCAAGAAATGAAAATGCACAACTAAAGGTGAAGAATCATATTGTGCAGGCTTCTTTTGGAATTCACGGCGTTGTCAAAAATGTCTCGGACCCCGTGACTAAAACTATTCACAGTTGTCTGCATTATTGATCGTGAAGGTAAAAAGTAAGAGCAGTCCTCTTAGAACGAGCAGGTACTTTAAATTCACAGTGCACACAAGTTGAGAGTCAATGTCGCTGCGAAGTATTCTGTGCAAAAATAATATGTCGCGATACAGCCTTCTGGCGGACAGACCTTGCAGACCGAATTTAGCAAAAAGAAGTTCATAACTACAGAAAAGCAGAAATGCACCACGGTGACGTTTCAGCATCTTGCCGAAACGTCACCGTGGTGCTTTAGATGTTTCACCTTAATGCACCGCGCGGTGCATTATGGTAAACGTCCCATAATGCACCGCGGTGACGCGGGCGTTGCATTATGGGACCTTTCCCATAACGCACCGCGCGGGAGGGCGGAGTGGGGAAAGGAGGATGGATGGAGGGGGAGGGATGAGGAGGGAGAGGGGGAGGGACAAGGAGGAAGAGGGGGAGGACGGGAGGAGCAGAAAGGTGTAGATGAGGAGGGAGGAGGGGAGGGTACGTATGAAAAGGAGGGGCATACCGTCCCCTTCCGTACCCTCCCCTCCCCTCTTCAAGAGCTGCTCTCTAATTCGGCATAACAGGGAGTTTAAACGTCTTTAATTTTTTTCAGTTGTTTAATTTCTTCCATCTGTTCTTTGACACTTTTTAATACTTCGTCATATTTTGTCGACATTATGCAAATGGCTGCTTCGATGCCACCAATAGCTTCTTTGAGATCTAAGAGTTCGTCTATTTGCTGTTCATGGACGCTAACATGGTCGATACGTCGACATTCAATGTTGGTTTGTTGGTTGCGCCATCCTTATTATTTGAGGTTTGACAAGTGGGGCAAGTTTAGATCTGACAAGTGGGACAAGTTTAGATCTGACCTTGGTCAGATCTAAACTTGAATTTGCTTCATCCATATGGTCACCATGGCAATCATATCTAACTAACAACCTTGAATCCGTTCAAAACAGAGGTCTTCGTTTTATTTACTCTGACTACTCCCCATACACTAGCATATCAGGATTACGCAAATCAGCTAACCTTGACTTACTTTCTTTACGTCGAAGGGTGTCACGTCTCACTCTTCTTCACAAAATCTTTTACCACAACAATCATCTAAAAGATTCTCTACTATCACCTCCCTACCGTATTTTCCCTCGTTTTGACCACTCATGTAAACTGCGCTCAATTACTTCGTCATCTGTCTCCTATAAAATGTCGACTTTACCATCTGCTATTGACGATTGGAACTCATTACCTGACCTCATTGTAAACATGACTGATACTAACAAGTTTGCTGCAGCCGTTAACCTCTTTCTTTCTGAAATACAAGTATAGATTACAGCGTGTTTTTATTAACTATTTTTGTTGATGTTTTTAGTGTGTTCACTCCCTTGTATAATGCCCCCTGGGGCCCTCAAGGAAAATAAATGATGATGATGATGATGATTTCCACGCGTTACGGTAGGTCTCGCCCTTTGTTTTTAATGTTGCTTCAGGGACTCCCGCACAACGACCGCAATGATACGAAACAGCCGAATTCACTACACGTAACGAACTACACGTCATCGAGGATTTCTTTTTGGCATTTCAAGCACAACGTATCGGTATCCTTTGATAGTGTACATAGACCAAACAACGGGCACAGCATGCATCAGCAGCGACAAGGATATAATTGCCTAGGAATGATAGTAAAAGCAACCTACTTGGAATGACGTACGAGATTATCGCTTGTGCAGTCGCTCGTCGCTGCTGCCGCCTTGCAAACGTGTGTAGACAATAATTTCAGCCCTTGCAGCATGGCTGCAAGCCTGCAACCCTTAACTTGCAACGCGCAGCTGTCAGGTACACGACCGCACAAAGACCTGTATGACGTTCATTCCGATAAGAAAGGGCAGGGGTAGGGATTGAACTATACGACGCACGAGTTGACAATGCACTACATAACAACGGTTAGTCGTGCGGGTAAATGTTGCGGATTAAATACGTCAGTGTAAAGAAGAAGCGCTCTCAAATACACCTACATGCATATAGGTTGTTTTTGCAGTTATTTCGACACCCTGTGCCACGTCGAAGCTGAAAGTCTTTTTTGAACCTTTCATCTGCTTCAAGGCTGAGGCCTTGAAGCTCATAGAGGACGGAAAAGCGTTTTTCGTGATTCCAAATAAAACTTCAGATAACTGGCAACTATAATTTTAAGCCCAAAGATGGATAAGTGTAGTTATTCTGAAGCGCAGCTTATTTATTGGCACTAGCTCAGCTCAGTCAGCTCATCAATCGGAGAGAGAGAGAGAGAGATTTTTAATAAAGTTTTTTTAGAGAACTTTTAAGTTTAAAGAACTTTCAAGTTCAAAGACAACTGTGTCAGCACGCCTTTGAGATCTTTATAATTGTGAGTTGGCATTTTGAGGGGCTTTAACTTGTGACGATCATGTGAACGGTCATGGGTCATGATGTAATTTTTGCTCGGTGTGACCACGCCGTTGGGCGTTTCTTCAAAAATAAACAGTTGACAGTCAGCGCTCCGTCTGCGTACATCTTGCCTGTCCTGTGTCGCTGTTCGCGCTGTTTTACCCGTAAACATGCTTCACCAACTAGCCCAAATTTCAACAGTATGGAGAGGAAAGCCGAAGTTTGTTCTCTGGCTGGCTATTCTGTAGGGAAAGGTAGAAGGGAGTACAGATGTTTAAAGTCAGAGTAATGTTACGCATACGCAAGCACATCACACGCACACACAAACACTCAGATGAACTTAAAGTTGATCTTGAAGGTCAGTATCTTCGACATATTTTTAGAGGTCTTTAAAGACAGTACGTTGTTGCCGCTAATTGTTCCACGGGCCCAGCATTTTTGCCACAGTAAATGGTCCTTGGTCCAGCTGTTGAAGCGTCTTTTTTATGTCTTCTCGTTGAGTTTCGTATCTTATGCAATCGCATGAGTCATGACAAATGCTCAATATCTTCCTTGCAGTTGCATATATCGCAGTTTGGGTTATCAGTGCTGCCAAGAAGGAAATTGTAACTTCTCGTGTAGGATACCCAAGTCGCAGTCTATGGTACGAGGTTCCTAGCTTTCTGGGTATGTTATCTGGTAAATGCGTAGCTAATTTTGTATGTACTATATATTTTTTGCTATTTCGATGTGTACGTGGTTGAAACTCCATTACCATAGTTTTTACTACTTCTTTTATGAAGCATTTTATGTCATTTTTGGTAAACGGAACCTTTGTGGGCTTTCGCAGATTCTATGTCCAGCCTCAGATGCCTTTTGTTTATTTCCGCTGATTCCGCTGTGGCCCGGAATCTATTGTAAAAATTTTTTGGTGTCTTATGTCAATGACTTTCCGTATGCTTCTCCTATTTTCAACTGAACTTTATTATTTCTGTATGGTTTCCTAAATATCATTAAGTATTTGAGAACGTAGAAGAATCAGTTGAAGTTACCCATTTTAGTTTAGTCGTTGTCTCTGCGATATAGCTCAATGCTAATAAAATACCGTAAGTTCCACTGTTGCATTCGCTGTTCGGTGAGACAGGTGTGCCATCCCAAGTATATTATACTGGGGAATTACAAAGGCGGAGAATGATAAAGTTTCAGTTGATGAGCCATCAGTGTAAGCAAAGGCACGGTTGTTGCATACATTAGACAGGTGGTGCTGAGTACGTTGAAATCGAACGGCTGTCGCGGTGTCCTTGATTATTCCCATGCCAGGTATTTTTTTTTTTTATTTATCTGGATAAAGGACATGATTCAAAAAGGAGGAAATGTCTCACAAATTCTGCCTGATTACTAAAGAAGTTTGTTTGTGCAATTTGTTTTCAAGGTTGAATTTTGAACTTGGTCTAATCTTTGCAGTGCTTCGTATGTGGTATTATTTTATGCTTAGTGATATGGGAAGGTGTATTTGGAAAGATTCCTGCGTTCTTAAAATATTAACAGACACAGTAGCTGTCTCAGCAAGCGAACCGCGGGTAGACGTTCCCTTCGGGAGATTGAAGCACACTTTTAGTGCAACTGCTTGTGCAGTTTGTAGTTTTTCATGGTAGTGTCACTAGCACATGTGAAGTATCGGTGCACTATATCTGAGGATTCCTTTTACAAGAGGGCGCTCTTAGGT